CGAATGAATAAATCAACAAAAACATGGCCTCCTGCACCAATGAAGCTTACGGCTCGGTGCAAGCCCTTTGGAGCTAGTGACATTTAATTTGAGCTCAAAAAGATGAGTAGGCATTTAAAAGACAGATATAAGAAGGGGCTGGCCCCGTGGCCGAGTGGTTAAGTTCGCGCGCGCCGCTGCAGGCGGCCCAGTGTTTCGTTGGTTCCAATCCTGGGCGCGGACATGGCACTGCTCATCAAACCACGCTGAGGCAGCGTCCCACATGCCACAACTAGGACCCACAACGAAGAATATACAACTACGTACTGGGGGGCTTTGGGGAGAAAAAGGAAAAATAAAATCTTTTTTTAAAAAAAAAAAAAAGACAGATATAAGAATAATATTCCAGAGAGAGAAAGAGTTGTCAGGGTCAGGGTTATAAGGAGTTAAATGTTAGATATGCAGGAAGAAAAGAAGAGTAGATAGTATGGGGGGGCGGTGTTGTATCAGGCATATATCTTATATGTTATGTCTGTCGTCTATATATTCCCTGTATTCTTTTGCCCCTCAAGATTAATAATTTTGTAACTATAATAGACATAAAGCACTTATTTAAAATTTATTATGCATTTTGCATAATAGTCACCCATGAAAGCATCATCGTATTTGAAACAATGAACATATCTACAACTCCCAAAAGTTTCCTCCTGCCACTGTGTAATCTCTTTCCTCCACTCCACCCTGCTCCTGACCCCCGCTATCTATTTACATGCTTTTTGTTACTGTAAATTAGTTCCTCTGTCCAGAATTTTATATAACTGGAATAATACAACAAGTACTCTTTTTTTGTCTGACATTGCACTCAGCATAATTATTCTGAGATTCACACATATTGTTGCTTATGTCAATAGTTCATCCCTTTTTACTGCTGAGTAATATTCCCTTGTATGAATATACCACAATTTGTTCATCCATTCATCTGTTAATGTGCATTTGGATTATCCTTTTTTTTTTTGCTATTAAAAATAAACCTGCGTTGAACATTTATGTACATAATACATATGCTTTTGTTAGTCTTGAATAGATACCTAGGAATGGAATGGCTTTATCACAAAGTAGGTGTCTGCTTAACTTTCTATGAAACTATTTTTTAAGCGGTCATACCATTTTACATTTCAGGCAGAAGTCCAAATTGCCCCACACCTGTGGTATGGTCAGCTTTTTTTTTTTTTTTTTTAAAGATTTTATTTTTTCCTTTTTCTCCCCAAAGCCCCCCAGTACATAGTTGTATATTCTTCGTTGTGGATCCTTCTAGTTGTGGCATGTGGGACGCTGCCTCAGCGTGGTTTGATGAGCAGTGCCATGTCCGCGCCCAGGATTCGAACCAACGAAACACTGGGCCGCCTGCAGTGGAGCGCGCAAACTTAACCACTCGGCCACGGGGCCAGCCCCTGGTCAGCTTTTAATTGTAACTATTCTAGTGGTTATATGTCTCTTTATAGTTTAATTTTCAATTTCATAATGACTAATGATGTTGAGTATCTTTTTGTGTACTTATTTGCCACTTATATATCTTTGGGGAAGTGTTTATTCAAATCTTTTGCCCATTTTTAAGTTAAGTTGTTCATTTCCTTATTATTGAGTAGTAAGAGAGCCTTGTATATTATAGTTACAAGTCCATTGCTGAATATATAGATTGCGTAGTTTTTTCCCAGAGTGCGCCTTCTGTTTTTATTTTCATAATGGCGCCTTTTTGAAGAGCAAACATTGTTAATTTGGATGAAGTGCATTTTATTGATTTAAAAAATTTTATGGTTTGTGTCTTTTGTGATGTAGTTAAGAAATCTTTGCCAAATTTGTGATTACTAAGATTTTCTTCTAAAAGTTTCAGCATATGAAGTTTTACATTAAGGTCTATTATTCTTTATGAGTTTATATTTGAGTAAGTATGAAGTTAGGGTCGAGGTTCACTTTTGTGGGTATGGCTATACTATTGTTACAATGTCATTTTTTTAAAAGATCCTTTCCCCATTGAACTGCCTTGACATCTTTGTCAAAAATCAATTGGCCATGTATGTTTCCATTCATTTCTGGACTTTCTTGTTTGTTCCATCTTTATCTGTCTATGAATAGGCCAATACCTTATTGCCTTGGTTACTATGGCTTTATAATAAGTCCTAGAATAAAGTAATTTGAATCCTTCCACTTTGTTCTCTTGGCTACCAAAAGGTTTTTTAGGCTATCTAGATCTTTAGTATTTTTCATGTAACATTTGGAATCAGCTTGTTAATTTCTACAATAACGACAACAACAAAATGCCTCCTGAGATTTTTAATAAAATTGCACTCAATGTATCTATCAACTTGAGCAGAATTGACACCTTAATAATATAGAGTCCTTTTAGCCATAAACATGATTTCTCTCTCCATTTATTTAGGTCTTCTTTAAATTCTCTCAGGAATGTTTGCTAGTTTTCAGTGTACAGGCCTTGTGTATCTTTTGTGAAGTTTATTTCTATGTACTTTATATATTTTGATGCTATTGTAAATGATACTTTTATTTGAATCTCTGATTATTTGTTACTATTAAATAGACATACGTTTAATTTTTGTATCATCTATCCTGCAACTTTATATCCTGCAAACTTGCTAAGCTTACTTGTTAGTTACACTAGCTCTTTGTAAGTCCATCAGCTTCTCTGCATAGATGATCATGTTGTCTGAGATCAAAGACAATTTTTCTTCTACTTTCCCTGAGAGACTGGCTTTAGTTTCTGTTTTTGCCTTATTCCATTGACCAAACCTTCAGTACAATATTGAATAGAAGTGATGAGAGTGAGTATTCTTATTTATGCCTGATCTTAGAGGAAAAGCATCTAGTGTTTTACAGTTAGGTGGAGATCTTTTTATAGATATTCTTGATCAGGATGAGGAAGTTCCTTTCTATTCCTAGTTTTTGAACGTTTTCATCAGGAATGACTCTTAGATTTTGTTAGGTAACTTTTCCCCTCTAATCTGATAATTGTCATTTTTCTTGATTTGAATTTAATTAAAATTAAAAATTAGAATTGTGAATCACATTGATTAATTTTTAAAGATTTAATATTAATATTAAATTTAATATTAAAATATTAAACTAACCTTGTATTCCTTGTATAAACTCCACTTAGTTGTGATGTATTATTTTTAACTTCTTGTTGGATTTGACTTGCCAAAATTTTGTTAAGAATTTTTACGTCTGTGTCAATATGGAATATATGTTTGTAAATTTTTTTTTATATCTTTGTCTAGTGTTGGTATAGAGGTAATGCTGGCACCAGAGAATGAATTGGAATGTTTTTCTTCCCTTCAATTTTCAGTAATGAGAAGACCCTGAGATGATAGAGACAATGGGATACAAAGGAATTAGTCTTTAATAAAAATACAGCACTTTCTCTAGTTAAACCATTCTCTAACTTCAGTGTTCAAGAGAAACACCTGAAAAATTTCCTTTAAATAAAGATTTTGATTTAAAAGGTCCAAAATGGATGCAATAGCTGGTATTAGCAAAGCAAAACAAATCTCCCCCAGGTGAGTCTTACGTGGTTGATCCATGTTCTGAGAATTCTTAGTCTACTCAATGCTTCTCAAAGTACGTTTCATAGACCAGCAGCATCAGAGTCACCTGGGTCTTTCAAAAAATGCAAATGTTTGGTCCCCACTTCACACCTACTAAATCAATAACTCAGGGTGAGAAATTAGGTGGCTTCTGTCCTTTAGTAGCCCTCAAGGTGACTCCGATGCATGCTAAAGTTTGAGAACCACTGCACTATGTTAATAAGAGAGAAACAGAAAGGAATAGATACAGATGCTGTTAAGTGCATATTTTGTGTTATAAGTAGAGATAATTTCTTCTACACTGACTTCCTTTTCTTTTATAACATCTAGGGAAGATCTGAGAGTGAGGGAGGGGAGGGGATGTCAGATGTTCGAGTGGTGTGGAGAAGGTATGGACAATAACCAGGAAAGTGGGGAAGCAGGCTGATGAGATTGTTAGTCACTAGTGCATGTCTACCTGTAAATGTGATTGTCAACTTTTATGATATCCACCTTACCTCTTGTGCAATATTCTCTCCCAATTCTGAGCTGCTCAAGGTAGAGGTATGCAGGAGGTAGTTTCTTGAATTTTTACACAGTTATTTTGCCAGACGGGTAAAGGGAAGGAGAAAGAGATACAGCAGTTGAGGGTATTTGCAGGAGGGTGAATGACTATAATCATGGACCATATCCTCTGTGCTGGATAAAGAAAGGAATGAAGACAAGAGGAGGATAATTAACAGAAAGAAAGTTCTGAGATCTATGGATAAAAAGGTCTTGATGAAATGGAAGGACTGTTTCAGTAGATGTATTTCAGAAGATGAGCTGGGAATGTAAATGATAATGGCTGAAAAGTGAAATGCTTGTTTTTGAATTCTTGTGGTTTTTTATAGTAAGAAGCTATAGGATGTGACCTTGGTAATAGAGGTTGAGATTATTGTGCCAGATCTTTGGAATTGAGGAAGTCATAGAATGGGTGAATAAATATTCACATACATATTGAAGTTCTCTTTCATTAGGGATGTCAATCATAGTAGTGGGTGGATGAATGGGAGACCAACAGCCAGGGACCAAATCAGAAAATACGATGACCTCAGTATCACATAAAATAAATTGGAATTCATCACTGGCATAAGAAAGTTCTCATGGAAACATATTTCTTTCTCTAGCAGATTATTTTGGGCTGCACTACAATTTCAAAAATGTGTGTCCCCAGTATGTGCTAAAATCCTGGAATGTCTTTTGATAATAAGATTCATAATTATAATATCTGTGCATGAGTTCTGATTTAGCCATGCAGATATAAAAATTAATAGCCGCCTATCCTATAGACCATTGCAAAGAAACTGAACCATAATAACTTCCTCATGTTTTCCTGTTCATGACAGAAATAAAAAAAGCTTGCTTTGAAAGGCTCCTACCAGCTCAGAAGTACAAGGATGGACATTGTCTCTGCTGTGCCCTGCTAACATCCATTCTAATTCTGTTTTTCAAATTCACAGAGAGTGAAGAAGTTTATCAAAGGCAGGTGCTGTCAATTTCATGTATCATCTTTGGAATTGTCATCGTGGGCATGTTCTGTGCAGCATTCTACTTCAAAAGCAAGTAAGACCATTTCTCTTGAGTGTTAAAAAGCTTACTTCTCAGAGGAAGCACTTTGTCTTTCTTTAAATTCTCAGTCTCTGCTCCAGGCAGAGGGATCTTGGGCAAATGGGTCTATCGAACATCTACAAATGACTTTGAATCTTTCCTAGATCATAGTGAGTGTGTGCAGTATGTGCATGCATGTGTGTGTGTGTGGTTAATCTTTGATGCACATAACGATGATTCTTCTCTGTGATCATGAACACTCCATGTCCTTTGCATTTGTTGATTACCTGCTGGAATGAAAGGCTCAGTGTCTGCCTGTCCCTAAGGGGTTAACTCTCTTGAACAGAGAGGTCACTGCTGTGACCTAAACATTATCAACCAGGAGCTAACCTTTTCCCAAAAAAAGAAAACCCACAGTTTTTCCTTTCCTATTGTGTTTACCTGATATTCATAAAGGTTTTATCCAAATATGAAATATGAATAGCATAAAATCCACTTTAGTTCACCAGTTGGTACACACATATCAAATATATCCCATACCTCCCTTGCCAAGAAATCAGACTCTCTGCAGCTAGAAGTGCTTATTTTTGACTAATAAAGTAGAATAAAAATATGCATACATATTATGTATATAAGCATGTGCGTGTATATATTTATTCCAAACGAACTTTGATAGCGGTATTTTATTTATGGAAATGACATAATCTGCACTTAAAATAAGAAATACAGATAAAAATATTAAATTTCTTGGTTTCCTGTAAGGCACGAAGCCTTATGAAGTTGGCACAGATTCTGTTCCTATGTCTTGTCTGAAATCCAAGGCAATGTGTAATTGCTTTTCTTTGGACCTATATTTCTTACCCGTTTGCTCTTCTAAAAATGGATCAATTTCCAGATATAGTCTGTGATATCTATCTTCATGTTGTGTCTGAACTTTAAAAGAACAGCAATTCTGATTTTAAAAAATAATGGAAACTCAGGTATGATTCCAGAATTAGGAACTATTATTTTTAATAAACTATTTCAGAATAGGTTTAGATTTTCAGAATTACTATGAAATAGTACAAATAGATCCCATATACCCTAGACCCAGTTGCCCCTATTATTAGCATCTGATATTAATACATCATTTTTGTCACAATTAGTGGAACAGCATTGATACAGTATTACTAAGCAAAGTTCACACTTTCAGATTTCCTTAGCTTTTACCTAATGTGCTTGTTTGTTCCAGGGCCCCCTCCAGGATACCACATTACATTTAATTGTCACCTCTCCTAGGCAATTCATAGCTGTGACAGATGTTAGTGTTCATTTTTGAGCAGTTACTCTTTATCAGGGACATGAGGTTTTCATGAATTATCTCGCATTCCTCACAACAATTGGAATTGTGCATTCTTGCTTTTTCAAATAATACCAGAATTTGATTTTAAAATATGCATTTGTCCAAGATGCACGGTAGGAAATTGCATATGGGGTCTTCGAATAGCCACAGCTCTAAGTTAAATCACGTGCTCTAATCCACTGCACCCTGTTGGCTCCCACAGCCCTCCTGCTGGCTGGTGGAAGTGCTTGGAGTGGCTGGGGAATGTGGCAGTCTGATGCAGCCCACAGCACATCACAGCTCCTAAGGAGGCTCCAGGGTGTAATGGTGAGGCTGTCACACACCCCAGCCATGCCTCTATTCAAATCTTCACACTGCCACTTGCTTATTATGCATTATTAGGCAAGTTACATCCAGTCTCTTAGCCTCAGTTTCCTTTTTGGTAAAATATGGCCGAAAATAATATCTCCCTTTTAGAATTCGTTACGGATTAGTGGGATAATGCTGTAAAGAGCACAGCATAGTGTTTAAAAGGGTCGACACTCAATGAAGGCTAGCTCTTGTTAACACCAACGGTTTTCCACACTGGAACATAGAGACTGAGTCATTACAAAATGAAGAGCTTGCACAAGTGTAAGGGGATAATCAGACCCTGCAGGGTGTTAGGAGGGTCTACTCACAAGTGCTGTGTATGAGAAAGAAATTGTGTATTTAACAATAAGCAAATTACTATGAAGTAGCAAAACACTTATTTTTAGAGTATAATTTGTAGTTGTACACATTTAAATGAAAGAGTCTTTATGACAATCCCAAGAACAGAGAACAGCTGGATAACTAGGGGACTTCCATCTTCAGGGCTGTCAATCTCTCCATCTCTCAGCAGCAAGTGGGCTCTGAGAGGAACATCTCCTCCTGGGGCTCAGCGAGGTGTCAGGGGTTTCCTGGAAACACTGCTCAACATCAGATTTATTATGAGAGGCTCAGAGGACTGAGCCAAGGGAAGAACGCTAATCAGAATGTTGTCTTTCTGCCTGCCCAGCTGGGACACATTTTTATTAAAAAGTAAATAAATAGGACAATGTGAGAATAATAAAGTAATAATAAAAATTGAAGCCTTTTCCAACTAGAGTTGTATTTCTCATGAGATACCTAGAGGATATTTCCTTATTCTAGTACAATTTCCAGTTATGATCTTCCTTTATTTTTCTTTGCCTGAGAGGAATGCCACACCCCACACCACACATCTAATCTAGATAGCCGAAAGCAATGTAAATTTTTGTAACACTCTGCACAGATTTCTTTGTGCTTATTCCTGGAATTCTAATTCCCCTCACAAAACCTTGAGGATAACAGAATAGTCATACTTTACCTGACTTTTCCTTACTCGCACACATGCTATAAGGTGGTTTATATGAGCACAATTTTTTGACTTCATTTGGAAAGTGCCAACTCTTCTAGGATTCTAGGACCTCTCTATGATTGGTTTTCAAGTAAATTCACTTGAACCTCCATCCTGTATCCTGGGATACAATTTCTGGCCAGAGAAGGTCAACAGTTACCCAAAATCTCACAATCCTTGGTCATTTATGTTTTACTTCCCATAATCCCTCAGATCCTGCCACTCTGGTCCTTTCTCCACTCTCTTGTCACCTTGTCTGCTTTCTCAGGAGCCTAACCTGCAACATTACAAATAATGTTTTGTGCGCCTGATATTCCGCAACTTACATCTCATTTCTTTCTGATGAATTGGGCCAGAGAAACTTAAAGTCAATGGACGATTAACACCGACACGGTTAAGCTCGTCGCGTTCCCGTGTGCAATGCCCATATCTTGTCTTCCCCAGAGCAACTGCTCTCAGGAGAGAGCTAATGGAAGCTTATTGCAATCAGACGCTTCTGAGTTCCTTTGTTCCCATTTGCTGAGGGAAGGAGGAAAGAGCAAAAATGTATGTGCTCGGGAGAGGGGAGGGGTGATCCAGAAGGAGACAGGTTAGAAAGGGAAACCCATTTATCCTGGAATGTGAATGAGTCAGAACTTGAGTGAGAAGAGAGTAAAGGAAAGCAAATTATAAAAGGATTTAGGAAATGCAGTCAGACATCCTTAGGAGGGAAAATTCCTTTAGAAGTTTATATTTCCCAGACACCGAATTGCTAAATTACTGAAAAAGACAGTATTTCTACTATTTAATTCTTAGCAATTGGTCCTTACTATGTGCCAGGACCCCTTTTCCTGCTTCGTGATGATTTCCTCTGCTAGAACGTCCTGAGCTCCATTGGTTTCACCAATGAATCCTTGATAGGATTTTGTGGCCGTAATATGCTTCTTAAAATGCTGATATGATAGATTTATTTTTAACAATAGGCTACCGATTAATTGTTAGGCAGCGGGTAGATTATTACCACTGGATTAAAGGAACTAAGAGTACGGGAGATAAAGGCCTCCCAAATAATTGAAAAGATAAGAGAAATATTTAAATGAACAGAGCTACATCACACTGAGGTTATAAATTCAAAGGAGGCATTGATGCTCAGAGCCTCCCCTTCCTGTAGCAAACACTGTGACTTGCTTGGGAGAGATGCAATTAGTCCGATCTTTCCTTTTATCTTGGAGCCAGTGTTTGAATTCCTCTGTAGCATCTGCCCAGACAACTAAGCTTGCTCAGCGATGAGAGGCAGGGGATGAACACTTCACCTGTGTTCTCACGTTTAGTTTCCACAGCATCCTTGAAAGATAGCTTTTACAAACTCCATTTACAGATGAGGAAATGGAGGCTCAAAGAAGTGTAGGAAGTCAATCATTTTGATTTCAGAAAGCAGAACAAAACCGGTGGGTGGCAGAGCTGAGATTCAAAGTCCAGTCTCGCTGATAACCAGGCCTGTGCTCCGTAGTGTTGCCTGCCTGGAGAAGCTCACTGCAGAAGTGCACATACTCCTCCGATGGCTCCATCCTTCACAGAGAGCTTGGGGAAGCGGGAAAGTTCAGGGGATAGGATTCTGCAAAGTTTTGTTTCATGGGTACCGAATCTTCTGCTGATAGATAATTGTAGTGAAGCTCTGGGGAGAGAGCAACTAATTAGGCAGTAATTTGTTATATCCTTCTAGTACGGCCACTGAATGACTCAGACGACAGTCACTCCACATCCACAGGCAGGAGCACTTTCTTTCTTTAGAGTCCAAAAACTGAAAGGCATCTCAGCCTTCCCACTGAGAAGCTGTGGGACCATGGGCAAGTGGCTTGACAGTCCTGAGTAGTAGTTGAGAGTACAGAGGAAAGAGTGAGGTGCCCTGTAAGAGTTAATTATTTTTTTATTATTTACAATGTAGGAATAAAAATGTTTATATTCAGGGATGTTGTAACAATAAATAAGCTGTTTCTAAACTGTAAAAGAGAAAATACACACGTTATAGCATGTATGCAAGCCTGCAATCAAGCTACACATATTTGAATTGTACCAATATAAATGTTGTAAGTATGTTATGGGTGGCCGCTGGGCCCAAGCTTTAATAATTTGTTTCACTGGTCACTTCCTCAGAGCATTTCCAATTCCTTGCAGTGGGGCACTCAGGGTTAGGGACCTCTTACATCCATGGGGGCCAAGACACTGCATCATGTTTCTTTCTGCCTTTGAAGCACCATTGGTGTCAATTCCTGGATGACGATGGCTAATACCAGCTTCTTTCTAGACAAGAAGTATTTCTTGGTGGGTTTGAAAATGAAGGAAGTATTCTGTTTGTTCACCGAGTTTCTCCAGCTTTAGCAAATAACAAATAGATACATTGGGAATGAATGATCCTCTAAAAATTTGAATAGAGTAAATTTATGTAACTATTTATACATTTATTTCTTGAAATCTGCAGGAAACAAGCTAAACAAATCCAAGAGCAGCTGAAAGACCCACAAAATGGTAAAAACTACAGTCTCAAAGCATCCAGCGCAATGGCAAAGTCAGAGAACTTGGTGAAGAATCACGTCCAGCTGCAGAATGTGAGTTGCATTCTACGCGTCTCTCCCCGCAGCCTGCCTCAGCGCTCCGGGTCCAGAGGGCGTGGGCAGCCAGCCATCAGACTTGTATATTTTTTTCAATACTTTGTAGATTTTTGCTTAAATCATCTTGCAGTTCCATGTGTGTACACGTGCATGTGTACTGGATGAAAGAGAGGAAAATTAAATCTCAGCTTTGGATTATAATCGGTAACATAAATTAATCTCCGGTAGCTTCTGCTCTTTGTTCTGTAAATACTTAATGAAGCTCTACTTCATGTCAGAAATTGTGCTGGGCACCAGAGATACAATTTTACCAACCATATGGGATCCTAAGTGTAGTAAGAAATACAAACACCAGAACCAGAGGGAGTGACACTGAAGCAGAGGTTGGAGAAGAGGAGACCAACTGGAGATGGGTGGGGACAGATACGGAGGCAGCTTCATAGCAGAGCCAGGCTTGAACTTTTTTTTGAAGAATATGAAAGATTCACCCAAGAGTCAGAGAGCTAAGGACAAGAGACTAGAAGAAACAGAAAGAATAAAGGCGTGGATTCCTAAGAATACCGGCTATGTTCAGGCAACTCCAAGGTGAGGGGTGGGAGAGAAGTAAGAGGTGAGAGGTGGGAGGTGAGAGTTGTGGTCCCAAAGTTGGTACATCCTAACACCAGGCCTTAAAAGGATACCGGAACTTGAAGGTAAACAAAAACTCTTTGAGTCCAACATTCTTTCTAAAGTAGTTTTAATCATTTCTGAGATATATTGCAAGACACTAAATGAAAGACAAGCGAATACCATCTTAAGACATGCTGAAGTATTCCTCTCAGGGTGGCAATTCTTTGCCCCCCACACAACACTGTACCTCTGGATTCTGAGACACAAAACAAAGGAACAAAGACCACAGTATAAACTTAGTATTTGAGCATAATAGGCACTCACTCAGGACACATTCACGCCCCTCCAAATGCGTAAATCGCCGAGAATTTATCCTTCATTTGTGATTTTAAGAAATCCTTACCCCCAAAATTGCCATTGTGCTGTGTGTAACAGATGTTCTTAGATGTTTCATGTGGGATTCATAAATTAGAATTCCTTCCCTGCAAAATTTTGTTAAACTTTTCTTCATGGCTATGTGTACGGAACATTCTTTTCTGAACCAGAAAGAAGCCTTTTGTTAATGATTTCTAATGAGTGTTATCCCACCACGTTAAAACGATGGCAGGGATGGAGGGCTTCAGTTCCTCAGCAACCAGACTCGTCAAAGGCAATCAAAACTGGGCGATAGTTAAAGTGATGAGGACAGATTTTCGTAGCAATGTACTATTGCATTACCGAAGACAGTCCCGTGTGAACTGAACTCAACTTCCATTTGCACAGAGGGGACGGGGCAGTTTAAAGGGACAATGAGGGCATGGGAGGTGGGGGGCAACAGCAGGGACTGGACAGAGTCAGGGAAGTGAAAAATTACACAGTCAGTGGAAATGTGATTTGGCCAGCTGTGTGTGTTAGCTGGCAGTTATTGAGTTTAGGATTCTCTGCTTCCATGAAGACGGAAACAGAAGCCCTATCCTCCCTAAGGATTACATTTCAGAGAAATGGCTTTCAGGGCCTTGAGAAAGTCACTCCTGACTTGGAGGAGATGCACATCCATTTCAAAGGGGCGGAGGAAGGTTGACAACTGTCAGCCCTTTGTAGTAAATTCTTTAAGAAAGGGATGTCAGGGCCTAGTTCGGGCATTGGCTGGAACAGACAGTGCATTCTTTTGGAGGCCTTGAGTTTTTTTTGTGTTTTCTCAGACAGGCACCTTAAGCGGGGCTAAGATGACCCCAGGGGTGTAGCATTAAGCTGTTAGAAACCACGTCAGAGTTTACTGGAGTCTTTGAGTGCAGGAGTGGGTGGATGAAATCGTTTGTGCAGAGAATCTGCAGTTTTTACAGGCCAAAGTTGAGGCCTAGCCAAAAACAGGGTTCAGAGGAGGCCATCTAAAGTTTGGTCAAAAAGAGAGTCTTTGTCACCTATGCCGTTGACAAGGTCGTAGCCAGAACACACACAGATTTGCGTGCTTCGTCACCTAATATAAGATCACTAGCATTCTCTGTCTTCTTTACGATCTCCACAAACTCACTGGGGCATAGCATCATGGTCCAAAAGCGGTCACCTCTCAGTTTTCTCATTTCACCACTCCTATTAGGCATTCATGTTCTTTCTTACTGTTTACTATTAAAACAATAATAAAATAAACTCTTCACTCATGTGCTCCCTCCACCCCTTCTTTGATTGGAATTATTAGGATTGGAATTACAAGAAAGAAATTACTAGCTATAGGGCTTCCAACACTTGAAAGACCTCTGAGTACATATGATTTTTTTCTCTCTCTCTCTTCCTTCCTCTCCAGCCCACCCCTCCAAAACATTGTGTATGTTGGCACAGAGCAGCAATGAGTGGGCTCACCAAGATCATTCCCTCAGGGCCCAAGATAGGATGTGGGAAAGTATCTTTTTATAGTCACCCCATTTCTGAATAGAGTATATATAGGATGTATACATATATATTTGACATATATATATATAGGTGTGGTGTGATCAGCCAGGACGACACATTCCATGGTATCATAGTCTAAAGAGCTACAACGAACTTGGGAGTTCAGGCAGAGAGCAGATATGAGAGGAAGGCATTCAAGGACCCTGAAAAAGGAGAGCAAGGTGCATTGAAGAGACATGCACGCCAGCCATAGCATTCTGCGTGGTGCCAACCTGGGCTCAAGGGACGGACTGAGCAGGTCCCTTAACAAGACTAGACTGGGGATGCGCAGGTTGCTTTCCCAAAGGCACATTTCAATTGCAGCCTTAGAAAGCAATGTGGGTCATTACCAGCTTTGTTATTCCTTTGTCAACATTTCTTTTGCTAATTTAATAGGAGAAAATGGTACTTTTCAAAAACTTTGCATTTCAGTATTTGAGAGTATAGTATAATCTCTTTCCACATATTTCTAATCAAATTTCTACTTTGGCGACTTCTATGCTGATACCCTTGCTCATAATTTTATTATAAGAATCAAATAACAATTTGACTGCAATTTTTCATGCCAATGTTATAGCAGAAAATAGCAATGAAGAATAGATAACGAGAATCCATTAAAAAGGAACTGAAACTCTTAAGGACATTTGCTTTCTTTCAATACTATAGCTGAAACCCTATAAGGAGAAGCATATAGGACATCTGTGCAGTTGGAGGCCAGGTAGCACAAGGAGTCTTAAGGAAAGCAATAATCTGATGTGTGGCTAAGAATTTTTACATGCATATTGAAATACAAAGATACTGAAGAAAATTTGGGAAAGCATTTTTCCTTTTACGTCTGTATTGTTTTCTTCTGGCAAGAGCTATGAGGAAGTAGCAATGTCACTGATAATAGCAAAAAATGATAAATGAATTAGTGATAAAAGTACTAGCAAATAAGATGTACTGATACATACATAGAATCATGGTAAATAATATAAATACCTTGTCTCATTTAGTCCTGACAACGACTATTTAATTTACACCCAAGATGTGCAGAAGACGGAAACGGGGCTCAAAGCTTGAGAAAGGCAACCTCTGTCAGACAGCTAGTGAGTAGCTGAGAGCCGGCCCCACATCTTTATGACTAGTGGTTCTTAACAGGGGGTAATGCTGCCCGGCAACATTTGGCAAACATTTTGGGTGTTACAGCTTGGGAGGGGAGGGCTACAGGCAGCTATGAGTAGAGGACAAAGGTGCTGATCAGTATCCTGCAATGCACAGCATAGGCCCCTGCAACGGGAAATTATTCTTCCCAAATGTCAACAAGAGTGAGGAGGAAGTCCGGCATCCAAGCTCAAGTTGCAAAATGTGTCCATTAGAAAATTCTGAACAGCTAGCACAGGGGTTCTAGCACCAATATTCCCACTGCAGGCTTTCACTTCTACCATGTGGAGTGGTGACAGGTCTTCCAGATACACTACAATCCATATCAGGCAAATCTGTCTTTATTTTATCTTGCAGCCCAGGTTAACTACTTGAAAATTCTTCGCAAATTGCAGTGTTTAACAAATGAATTGTCTGTGGCTGGCATTCCCTCAAATTCATTAAAGATTCATGGGGAAAGATTTCACTGTACAGTCATGTAACAAGATGTGAAACATATTATCCACTGAAGCCATACCCTGGAAACACCTGCCTCGGAGGCTGCAGAACTAGACCTGGCAGTGCCTTAGAAGCATCTAGCCCTTACCATCACCCACAAATGAAGCATTTGTGCCTCAAAGAGATGAACTAGCCTTCTTTTCTGTGTCCCGAGTGAGAAAGAGCTGGGGCTAGAATTATAACCTCCAGAGCAGTCAACAGAGTGAAACTTCTCAGCCTGGATCAGGGATCAGAAAGAGAAGTCATCGAAACGGAGAGGAACCATTCTTTCTTAGAATCAAGAGGAAATGTACATAATTGAAAAGTAAGGGAACAAAATTATATACCCCTTCCCATCCTTTTTTTAATAACCATCTTAGGAAAGATAGGTTTATGGGGGTAACATTCACTGAGAAAGAATTGGAAGATAATATTTGCGTGCTAAAGGAGAATAATAAGAATTTAATGCCTAATATGAGTTTGATAATTGATAGAGAGTGGCATTCATTTATACAGAAATGCCTATTGAAGACTTCCGTATGTTGGGCACTGCATGAAGTGCTTAAAAAATACAAACAGAAGAGATGTATCTTGACCCCAAGGAGCTCACAGGCTAGTAGTAGAAATAAATATGTAAGCACATACTTTTTTTGTAATGTAGATATATTAAGTCAAAGTGCTATCAGAGAAAGGAAAAGGACATCTAAAATTGTCTAGGTAGGGTCCTGGCCCCATGGCCTAGTGGTTAAGTTCAGCGTGCTCCACTTTGATGGCCCATGTTCAGTTCCCAGGCATAGACCTACACCACTTGTCGGTGGCCACGCTGTGGCGGCAACCCACATACAAAATAGAGGAAGATTGGT